ATAATGAAATTAATAGAAAGTGGTGAGTGGTTCAATTATAATTAATTTTAAAAGAGTTAAATAATTGTTAAGGCATTATTAACATATAATAATAAATATGTATGGAACTATAATGTTTTATTACATATAAAGTCCTACAATAAATTATTAAAGAACAAATTGATCATGTTTATTTATAGATGTTGTTTAATTCAACTGTCATTTAAACATGCATTTATATGTTCATATTACTATATTACTTTTATCTTTGGAGGACTTTGTTATTTATTATTTAAGTTTCCATAATAAAATTGTAGATGAATAGATTTCTACACTGGTGTTTAAAGCACAGCCGAATTGGCACCAACAGGACCGATTATAAAGTCTATTTTTTCAGTTTATTATTTTATAATATAAACAGCTAAAATATTATTCTGAGTTTCAATATTCACCAAATTACATATATATATTTATAATTTAACCAAAACATGATATATGATCAACTATTGAAAAAATCATCCCATTTATTAACATTATATTTAAATCATATAAAGACGTTAAGATACTTTTTGAATTTTATAAAATTATTCATTTTAGGCATGTAGATGCATATGTAAATACATGTATACACAAATGCAAACACCAATGTACAATATATTACACAAAATAATAAACTTCTAACTTCTTTTTAATGAATATAGTTCACTTAAAAAAAAATAGTCGTGGAGGGCACAGTACAGTATTCAATATTTTGTTACAACATGGAAGTACACTGTACTTTCATAACCTAATAAATTTGTCAATCTATAAAAAATAAGCAATGTACCATAGGATCTAATAGATTCAGTAAATATAAAATTTCTTGTAAAATTAAACATAAACTACATAATTGACGGTTGCTAAAAGAACAATTCCTCACAATCTTAATTTACAATATAATTTAGTCACAAGTTTACTTAACTTGTGAAGTATTTATTTACAGGATATTTAAGTTAAAAGTTAAGTAATGAACAAAAGATATATCAGGTATTTTAATTAAGATAAATAGAAAAAAGTTATAATGTTTGAGTGGATTGTGGGTAAATTTAAGTCTGTTTTACAGAAATCATTATTGAAATAGTAATAGTTACCAAATTATAGTTAGAGCCAAAATTAACACTGATACATTTATGAGCTACAGAAGAGTATACAAATAAATAATATTTTATTAAATAAGCAATGTTAATTAATATAATTTAAGAGTTAAAAGAACCCCCAACTTTAAACTATTATAAGAAAGCTGACCAACAAAACTAAAAAATGTACTAAATGTTATAAAACAATACAACACAGAATAAAAACATAAAAAATAATTCTACTACATAATCCTGTGAAAAGATATGGCATTAATAGATCTAGAGTGACAAGTAAAGGCAAATATAGAAACTCAAATTTCATTTTAGTACCATATAAAATTTAAATTTGAGTTACCCAATTCATGTAACCCAATTAATCACTAAAACATGATAATACACTATAGGGCAAAACTTGATACTATTAATTAACAGTGAAATATTTCTAACTGTCCAGCTTAAAAGATGTTCATAGACCAGTCAGCTAAAGGCATACCCAAAACAATCAATAAAGAATACGAATGGGCCTCATAAGACCCAAATCTAAAATTGAGGAATTCACTAATTAATACTTATGTGGGCATGAGTAAACACATGCTTCCTTAGGTTTTATAAATTACTTTAAAATCTATTTCTAAAACAGCTACATTTCTAACCAATGCCTTTGATTTTCATCTACCATTCTTATGATTACAAATAACCAGCATTAGGTTAAAATATAAATGGTGAACAGAAAGAAAACAAATATGTTATCCATAAAATTGTTTTCTTTTTTTTTTTCCTAATGCATAATAAGGTTTTCAATTCTATTCAGACTCAAGATCAATTTCTGACCTTCAGTTATCAGCTATCAAAAGTAAATCAATATGGTACATTAATAGACAAAATCATTTAAAACAAAAACAGATAAAACAATACAAAGATATATATAGGCCTTTTGATAAACAAATGATATTTTGTTAAATCCTGAATCTTATTGACAATTTCAATATCTTGGAATATAAAACTAAACACCACTACATAAGATACAACTCAACCCTAAAATAAACTGAAATGATGCACACACATACAAAAATAAATATTTTTTGAATCATTAACCTTAGAAAAAGAAAAAAATAATAAAAGGGAATAAGGAAACAATTAACTACTGATCAGAAGTAGGGTAAAAGCACAAGTGCCTGACATCATCCTCTAAAAATTTGAATAAGAAGATGATAAGACCTCCTAGACCTCTATTTTAAATATTAGTGCCTTCTGCACAATCTCCTTGAATATTGGCCTATTCTGATTTAGTCTTAACAGAAAAACAATTTAAATAAGAGGTGTTAAATCAGAAAGGTTCCTCTGAGTTGACTTAGACTCACACAAACAATCATCCACCAGTAGTTTTTCTTCTCCTCTTTTATTATCTTTTTATTATTCTCAAATTTCTGTTTTGTTCCTTTTTATAGTCTTTATAGATTATGTTTTATCTGGTTTGAACTTATTTTTTTGAAGGACTTTAAAAATTTAATGGGTGTAAGCTATTGGAACCTCAAATTGGCCCATTCTCCAGTACCTGACAGCTCTGTCAACTACTGGGTCATTGCATGATTTCTTTAAAAACTATATTTAACTATTCTATTTTGTTATATAGGCTTACTACACTATTTCCAATATAGATCATATATTCTAATAGCTGACAGGGAGTGTCAAGTAGTGGAACAAGACATAAACTACAAGTTTATAACAACCTTTGATTTATATTTTGTCTTCCTTCTAGCTTATTTTCTATAAGCTATATTTTCTTATTAACAAAAAAAATTAAAATATGTTGAGAAAACATGGAGAAATCTCTTGACGATGTTCACAAAATAATGTCAATAGCGGCTGCCTCGTGTATAACATTATCTTATAAAGTAAGAGGAAAATACCCAATTCAGGATAAAATGGGACCATCCACAATTTTATCTCATGAAGAAGAAAGTTTAATAGTAATGTGGATTAAATACATGGGAAAAATAGTTTCTCTGTTGCTGGGAATCAGGTTATTGACAGTGTCCAACATCTGCTGAAAAATTCAGATTGAGAAAATCCCTTTAAAGATGACTGCTCTGGTCATAAATGGTTATGCTTCGGGACTCCTAAAAACCTTACTTCATTCTGAGCTTCTGTGACACTGAAAAATTGGAAAATATGATATTCAAATGTCCAGTCGCACCTTGAAGAAAAATGTCTTTTGCAAATCCTGGACAATGCACGTCGTGTGTTTAATAACAATGATAGTGTATTTTTTCTTAATCCTAGCAACAAAGTTTTAGGGAACAGAATTTTAGCTGAAAAAGGAAATAAGAGAGTCTACTAAAGAGAAAACGCAGGAGTGCCTGACTGTTTTGTTGTTAGATAATATTTCAGGTGTATTTTCCAGACCCACTTTCCAAACCATTCAAAAAATGACTCAAGCTCAATAGGTAAAGAAAGAAAGAGAAACTTTGCAATACTCGAACTGAGCAATAAAGTAAAACCAAGAAGAGTTTATGAAATCCTTGGTAGAAAAAACTATTGAAAACTCAGAGCTTTTGCACGGAAACCATTAAATTATAAATATATGGATTATAAATTATAAATATAAATTATATTATAAATATATGGAGTGTGGAAATAAACCCAGAGTTATAAACGAAAATTTGATTATTCAATATGAAAAATTGTCTCCTCCATTAGTTTTTGGTACAAATTTGAGTGTAAAGTATAAATTTCATGGTGCAGTTGATATCACATATTGAGCAACTAATTAATATCAGAAACATAGTAATCCCTTTATTGTGATAAAATGGTTTACCTTATTTCACCAATTGTTCGGTAAATCAGTAAATATTTATTTCTAGCTGGTCTGAGGTGTCTACTATGCATTTCCATCCAATTGACAAGATAAAACTTCATAACTATATTCTCCATTTTTTTTATTAATTTAGATAACAGTCTGATTTGATCAAAGAACGCTAGATCTTCTTTTTTATTATAAATTTAATTTTGTTTGTTTAGTATCTATTATAAAAAAATAAGAATATAATATTTTAAAATTATTTTGCGTGATTACTTCCTTGCCTATCTCTTTGTCAACAACAGGAACATTCCATCTCCAACAGCAACAGCTATAGGTGCAACAAAACATTTCTATTGATTTCCATCTTTTTTTTTACTTTAGATAGGCACTTCTTCCATTTTAATAGCTAGTTTGCAACCTGGGAAGTTGTTCTATAAGAAGAAACCAAGAAAAATACAATATTAACATAATTCAAGTTGTTAACCTAAAAATAAAAAAAATAAATGCCTTAAGAATGTCAGCTACTGGTGGTTTTACCCTAATGGAAGCACAAGGAACTTTCTCAACAATGAAAACAGGCTATAGTACTTAATAACAAAATCAGATATAAGAAAAAAGGAATATTTTGTGCAAAAAATTAGAGGTCATATATGCATTTTAAGAATATTTTGACTAGAATACTGTAGTATGGACAGATAGAATGTTATGTCACAAAAAAGTAGATGTCCATTTCTGATATTCAAACAATTAATAATGTATACTTAATTTTCCTAAACAAAAAGATTTTAATTACTTAATAACATTAAATTAAAATCTAATTTAAGGTATCAATAAAGACATAGAAATAAAAAAAAACTATTAATACAATGTGCATATTCTTAATAATGAATATGTAGGTTCTATAATAAATAAATAAAATTAGCCTGAATAAGGTGACAAAATAACCAAATATTCAAAACAACCATACAAATAAAATGAAAAGTCTTAATATTCCAAGATTATTAAAAATATATGTTTTAGAAATGAAAAGTTAAGATAAATTTTAAAAATAAAATAAATTAAATATAAAGACAGAATGAATATCCACATGCACATGAACAAAATATAAATATTTATAAATCAATAAATTATGACTGATAATCTTAACACAGGTAAAGAAACAATTAATATCATTCAAACTAAGCACTAAGATTACAAAATGGTCACATCACAGATAACATACAGTCATTACAAAACCAAATATAGAGTTCAAATATTATGATCTAAAAGCAGTCAATCAATTGGTCTTTGTTACTTTAGAAAGACAATCAGGATGAGTTATAATTATATGTTCTGATGGAAAGTCCAAAAAAACGGTAATATGGTACCCCATATTGGCAGAAGCGATGATGTATTCACACAAAGCAAACCAGCTAAACGCTTAAACAAAAATACATTAGCATTACAAAAATGGTGAATGCATTGTAACATTAACATAACACACTAAACTTAATTTTCCAACTGAACTTAAATTTTATCATCACTTCCTGTAATACATTGATTATAAAAATATCATGAATAACTAATAGAATTTTTGATCAATATTACAGAAATAAAAAGAAAATTATTCATAATACTTTTCAGAGGAAATAGTTAAAAAGAAAAGAAAAATAGTGGTATTATTTATATAAGAATGTTGTTGGTTTTTTCATTTTAATTGTCTGAACAGGGTGTCGCGTAAATAATGGGAAATATTAAAAAAGGTGATAGTGGACCCAAGAGCAATAATAAATTTCACGTAGATAATGGTACAATTCCACACAAAAATACAAGAAATTTAAGTTTTGTGTTTTTTTAAGTAAGTTTTTACCCCTTGAATGAGCAAATATAAATAAGAAAATAAATTTGATTTTGAAAATCACCAAAATCACATAGTAAACTAGAAAATTTTTTCTTTAAATTAGAGTACAATTCCTCTTTTCTGGAACCTTTAAGAGATTTATTCAGCTCCTAAACAACACTAAAATATCATTTTCATAAAATCGTGGATTATTAATGATTATTTAAGTTTATAGGCCTCCTGCTGAACTACAGATTCTCTCCTATTAAAAAAATTTACTTGTTTAATAATCTTTAAGACCATATTAATTAAATTGAGGTTTGTTACAGTATTAAGCAGTGTTTCCCGTGCAGCTGTGTAAAAAAAAAATTAGATGTGAAATTTTGATTCCTAGATATAGAGCATTGTTTTCATTAAAAGAATAATAATAATAATAATGAAGAAATAACAGCAAATTATTACACAGCTTATATTTCTTTTTTAGGGAACCTGAGTTGTATTGTATTTTAACATTTTATATTTTTATAGGGTGTCTCAGTTCTTAATGGTCAAACTCTGGGAGGTGATTCTAGACAAAATTTACAATAAAAAAGTTCATTTGATGCATGGGCCGATTCCAAATGGAAAAGGAGTGTTAAGACCAATTTTGAGTTTTTCTTAAGGTTGTCATGTTTTTTATTGAATACGAAGAAATTTCTCAAAAATTGTTCAAGATAATTAAATTCTAACTAAACCATCATAAAGTAGACAACTTTTTTTTTTTTTGAGAAAATAGTGATTAAATGTAGTAATGTCAATGATAAAAGGGACTTTAGGAGGTCTATTTAATTATAAAACTGAAAGTGTACAGAAATATGGTGCCCGTGTATGAGTACTGTAACTACAGCAGTACAGCACATTAAACCTCTGGAAAGTCTCTTTTATTATTGAACTTAGTAAATTTAAAGTACCTTTCATAATTGGCCTTATAAAATTTAATCACTGTTTTCTCAACGAAATTGTGTCTACTTTTGATGGTGTACTTAGAATTTAATTATCTTGAACAGGTTTTGAGCAATTCTTTTTTGATCAATAAAAAACATGACTATCTTAAGAAAAACACAAAATTGGTCTGAACTCCATTTCTGTATTACATATACATTAGAATTACATATTACCCAATACATATATAGGGTGTCTCAGTCCTTGATAGCCAAACACTGGGGGGCTATTCTAGACAAAATTTCCAACAAAAAAATTCATTTGACGCATTTTGAACAGAAAAGGTGTTAAGACCAATTTTGTGTGGTCACAGTTTTTATTAAATAAGAAGATATTGCTCAAAAACTGTTCAAGATAGTAAAATTGTAAGTATACCATCGTAAAGTAGACAACATTTTCTTTGAGAAAACAGTGATTAAATTTACTAAGGTCAATGATAAAATATACTTTCAGAGGGTCTACTGTGTGTATTTTACTATGTGTACTTTATAAGTGATAAAGGAAATATTCCTGATCATAATATTTACGTTTTCATGAAAATAAATAAAGGAATCAGCAGGTTTCCTAATTTATTTCTTAACTTTTAGGAGCAGCAATATTTACTTTGTCATAAATAAATAACTTCCAAACCCCGGACCAGTGCTAGCAAGGACACATAGGGAAACTTTGTCACTGATAAGAACAAAATAATGGAGCAATGGAAATGCTATTTTCAAAGGCTCTTGAATTACAATATCCCCTGCTGTAGAGTGGAAAGGCAGGAACTACCGGTTGGCGATCTGGAGCCTCCCGACATGGAAGATGTGGAGGATGCCATAGGATTCCTGAAAAACAATAAAGCCCCTGGGACGGAGGCGATATTCTCGGAACTGTTCAAATATGGAGGGGAAGAACTCGCAAGATTTATGCATAATGTTATCATGGAAATATGGGCGGAAGAAGCATTACCAGATGATTGGTACAAGACAATCATCTGCCCTATCAATGCTGGTCCTCTTTTCCACAAGCAATAATACAACTTGGCCACTTCAAGCCTCAGCTCTCATACATAGCTATATGAAGAATAATAATAAAAACTGAAATTAACATAAGGAAAATTAAGTCAGTACAATTGTTTTAATTAATTGTACTAACTAAATAATTTAATTAAAATAAATTGAGTTCTTAATGTTGCAAAGAAAAAAAAAATTAAATTTTTAAAAGCAGAAACAATACAACATTTATTCGTAATTGAAATAGAAAATCATTGTTACCAACATATTTTATTTCAAATAAATCAATATTAAACAGACTGAAAAATGTGATAAACATAGACTACCACTGTCAGAAAAATAATGTTCATTGTTTTACAAACAATAAATGAAAATTATGCAGAGCTTACAACTGATAAAAAAAGGTGGCCTGAAATTGAGCAAATAATCTTCCCTAAATTTAAAATGGACCAACAGTCATTTATTAGAAAGATCATCTTCGATATATTTGAAAGATTTTCTTCACTCAACAAAGAATCATAATTAATATGGTATATATAAATAGTATCTCTTCCATTTATTATATATATATATATATATATATATATATATATATATATATATATATATATATATATATATATATATATTATGTTCCATTTGTTGATGTTTCGAGCACTTGCCTCTTCTTCATTTTATTTTTCTGTTTTAGATGAACAATAAAATTAGCATAAAATATAAATTTTAAAAAAAATTACAAAATCATTATATATATTGTTTTAAATTAACATTAGTTATATTTTCTATTTTATACAATAAACATTTCAACAATCATCGCTATGCCACTTGTTCCCTATCCTTATATTTAAAAAGAAAAATATACACACACACACATATATATGTATGAATATTTGCCTATTGAATATCCAAAATCTTGAAATTCTCAAAATCAAAAGTATGATTATTTATTATGCTGTGTTGTGATAATGTATTATTTTTTTTTTTTAATTTAACAATTGCTCTTATGTAGCGTGATTCTGGTTTGTAGTTTCTCAGACGTTTCTGTTATGTAAGCTCTTTCACAGTTTATGCAAGTCTTGAAGTACTGAACATACAAATCTTGTATATTACATTTTTTTTTTTTTTCCATTAAGTCAATTTTATATTTCATATCTTTTAAACATCTATCCAATTTATAGCTATTATACATGCCTAGTTTTATGCCATGATGATCATAATAGATTTTATACCTTCTTGATTTTATTGGTTAAATCCAGCCTATAATTCATTTTGTAAAATTTATTTAACTGTGATATATTGCTATTTCCCCATCAATTATCTGTTTTTTTCCTTTTCTTCTGTGTTTTTATATGTAAAACTCTGTGATTGATCTTTAATTTAGTTTTCTATTTCTTTATATAGCATTTCCAAGTCTATTTAAACCTTTTCCAAGTAAAATAAAACTTTTTTCATTTCAAATTTAATCTTTTACATTTCAAATTCAACCTTTTTTTATTTATTTAATTATGTTTAATTTTTCGATGTATGAGTCAGTTATCGTATGTGGAGTTTTTAAAAATATCCTCCATTTTAAGATTACGCCACTGTGTTTCGGCTTTTTTAAGTTTTTCGGATTTTTTCCATAAAAGGGTGTATGTATCCTTATGTTCCCGGAGCTGTAGATTTTAAAAATGCCCTCCATTTTAATATTACACCACTGTATTTCGACTACTTTAAGTTTTTCGAATTTATTCGATATAAGGGTCTACTTTTATATTTCCGGAGCTGCGGAATTTGAAAATGACCTCCATTTTAAGATTATGCCACTGTATTTCGAATTATTTAAGTTTTTCGCAATGATTGTGTTTAGTGGTTCATTTAATCTTAAACACCGTGCCAGATCATTATGGCAACACACTAGATATCCAGCCGATCACCACTCCTATAATTATTACTGTAAATAACTGAAGTAGGAATTATCCTACTTCAGATCCCAATCCTTTAACTCCTACCTTACCTCTCTCTCCGCTCATGACAATTCCCTCGGGAATATCACCAAAAAAATCCTAAAATCCCACCATGTTTCCCATCCCATTCTCAGTGATGGCTTCTGGGCGGCGTCTGATGAAGACAATGCTGAGGAACAGCTCTCCTGTACATTCACTCCTCATCCGGAATCCCATCCTACCCACACTGCAAAAGTAGAAGAATTTCTTTCTTCACCCATCCCATTCTCCTTACCACCAAAAGCAGTTAACCATTCTGAGGTCAAACATGATTTACAAAAACTATCTCCCCGTAAGTCTCCTGGATACGACCTTCTAATTCCGCAGATCCTTCGGTAACCTCCATCCAAAACAATCACATTCCTCACTTATATATACAATTGTATCCCACCAATTACCCACTTTCCTTTCTTATGGAAACACTCTGTCATCATCCTTTTTCTGAAACCAAATAAAGCTTCTAACACAAAATCCTATGGACCAATAAGCCTACTTCCCATCCTTTCAAAAATCTTTGAAAAGATTCTACTGAAACGAATCCTACCCATAATAGAATTTCAAAACCTTCCTACCCACTAATTCGGATTTCGTTCCCAACATTCCACTGTCCAACAAGGCCTCCGAGTTGTTGACCATATATCC